ACTAGCAATCCCTCAGAGAGTTCAAGCTTAAGTGCTCTTAATTTTGAAGCAGTATGAGACATCTCCATAATGTATTCTCTAATATTACCTTTACCACCATACCTCATTGATATAAGATTTGCCAAAAGCGTACCAATTTCAGCCTTTTCGTTATTGACAAACCTTTTCTCAATATCTGCAAGGAATTCCTTAGCAATAACGATATTTTCAGACATAGTGCCCCTGAATGCTTCCGGAATGGCTTTCTTTACGATCATCATACACATGCGATTCGATTTCTCCCACCTTTTAAAGTCTCTCTTTTCATATGAAGTACTGTTATCCGTAAGAGGAGGTAAAGAATAAGTCCTTACCGCAAGGTCGAGATCCATGACACCGAGAACTATTAAAAGATTCTCTTGCCATGCCTTAAAGTTTGAGCCATTTAGCATAGGAATGAAATTGATGCTGGCAGTGATATTAGCAGAAGTAGACATAGCTGAATCCAAAGAAAAATAAACTTATCATGCTCACGAAAAATACTTAGAATTAAAATTATAAATTCAAATAAAGGTAACCCCATCTCAAGACATCGTAACTCTATTAATATTTTATATTTGGACAAAATATTAAGTTGTAATTGACATCTTGATGCAGTAATCAAACATTGACAATAAGAACACATCAAACAATAAATCTTCCTTTGGGCCGACTTATTGTTCACATGTATAACCAAATAATCACCACACGTTTATTACCGCAATAGCACAAGTAATTCTAATGAGTACTCCCCTTCCTTTGGGTCGGTTAATACTCACTCAAATTACATGTACCCATATCCTTTTATATTTCAAAACAAATTAATTTCCACAAAAGAGGTCGCTTTGGCGACATGTTGCTTCAATTAATCTATCTCAAAATATATAAAATTTTATACCAATTTTTGGATCCAAAATTTAAAATTCTAAGACCGAAAAATAAACTTAAGGGTTTAATCTGTAATTCACATAAAACCGATTTAGGTCCAGACAAATAATAACATGCTCACGGGCCAAGTAAATAATACATTCGGAAACCATATTATTCACAACTCAAATGCACTGATGTGAATATTCACATGAATAAAACCAATTCACCTGAATCCATTTCCAATTAAACATCCCCGACAATTAACAAGCAATTGAAAGTGATGAATTTAACTCATATGTATATTAAGATTCGCATCAATTAAATCCACTTATCCACAATTGCCAAAGAAATTAATTCATGCCATGACTTTCACCATCTCAGATAAATAATTCCCATAGTGGATTCATAGCAATTAATTGAACCATAAAAACTAAATTACGAAACTCATATAATCATATTCATACAATTACCGGAACATGACCCAGTTACCGAAACATATATATCCGAAATCAACCAGGCATAACTGAATCCATACCAATCAAAATAAATTGATTCCCCGAAATTCAATATGAAGAGGCTCTGATACTACTTGTTGGAACTAACTTTAGGTGAAATACATCGCTTTAATCCAGGAGCTTTCATATCGAATCATTGAGAATCGAGACTGAATAGCGGAAGCGTACCTGAATCCATAGGTGATTGATTTGGGAATTTGGCCTTCAAGGTCTATACGTCGTCTACCTTTTCAGAGAACCTTTTACATTTTCTCTGTAACCTCTCTGTCGATGGGATGCAAAAGAGTAACTGTTCGATGTCATATGACCTAGGGACACAACCCTTTTATGTACATTAAGTTACATTGGACATCTCTATTTTAGCCCATCATTAAAATAGAAGACCCATTAGTTTCTACACATTAAAGGCTCACACCCTATTGATACTTTAAAGCCCAATAACTTTAAAACTTAATTGATCACTTTTATTTGAGCTTCTTTATTTGACAATCACAATACAATAATTATTTCACATATTAGTCCAATGTTGGATTAAGGATCCAACATGATTGTGTGTAACCTCTCATTTCCCCAGCTTCGGGGCTCATCAGTGTAGTTTGCCTTTTTGGCCTTTTTATGAGTATATTTATGCCATGGAAAAAAAAAGAAGTTGAGTTAAATTTAAATTTTGATTAAAATATTTACTGTGCAATATATAAACAATCAATATATAAACTTACGATTTTGCTTCGAAACGCGATGGTACGAGAAAATATATGTTATTCACATCAAATAATGGTGTCAAGTTCTATTCAAAATGAATAAAATTCAAGTATATACATATACAATTATAAAAAAAAATTGGGTTTGTAATGAAATTTACCAACCAAAATCAATTCCGTCTCTTACTTAAAACACACATGTTGACGTGACTGTCGTCCTCGTGCACTGTTAAATTACTACAACCTTCCCGTCAATGGCGCACGTTAGTCAAAACTAAAGTCATAATAAGGCGGAGCTTGGTCTTACCCTACACTCCTTCCCTCATAATCT